TTTTATATTTTACTTACCACATTGGGGATACAAACAGAAAGTGTTCTCGTCATAAATAAGCGTTGGATAATTTACAAAACATTCATGGGAAGATATTTCTTCTTCCTCCAGAATTGTCTCGCACATTCCGCATGTATGTACTTTCTGCAATAAAAAAATATGAATTATATTAAATATGAATTGTAACTTGGTGTATCATTATCTGGTATGTCATTATGTGTCATTCAAAAGTTTGGTTTCAAGTCATAAATGTTTATAAAAATTAAAAAAATTTCTAAAAATTGAAAAAAATTTTTTTGCATAAATTTGTTTTCCAAAACCTTTTAAACATAAACTTAACCTCCAATCTTGATGATTATAAACAATTATATATATTATTTTCGTAATTGCTATTTTAACATTTTTGTATTAAACATATTATGAAAATACACTAACCTGTGGAATCTCCACATGTTTTCCGACCATTCTTACAACTTTTTTTTCAAATTGATTTTAACCACTTTTGCGATATCGCAAATAAAGTTGGATTAATCTAACTTCAACGCGGCAGACACGGGAGGCGGCATCAGGATTAGAAGCCCCTAGAATCTAGTTCTTTTTGAAGTGCCGCGCTGCCGCGCGCGGCACTTGCCGCGTCCATCAGTAGGCACCTTAAAATATCGCTGTTTTAAAAAATGTAACCGCATGCGCACAAAGCAGCTGGACCGTGCGCGAGAGAGAGGCTATTATACGTCTGCACCTGTTTGGGCTAAGGATCGACACTCTTCTAGCGATATAGGAGTATTACATATATGGCTTTCTCGCGATCGAAAATTAATTCTTTTCTGTATTCCTTTAGAATGCCAAATTGGAACTAGAAGACTCAAATCAAAATACCTTGTGCGGAATATTGTGCGGAAACCATAATGCATGCACTTGATATTCAGCGTGAGCAGAAGCAACGTCGTGGTCGCTATCGTCGCGACACGTGTACGCATCCGCCGCGTTTTTCCTGAGTAGTCGTTGCTCAGCATGTTGCTCGTCCAGGCAAATCCAAGTCACGCAGAACCATGGTTAATGATGACGATGGATGTTAATGGGCAGTGTGGCAGTCAGGCGGACACATAATCGCGTCTCGCCGATCAGCTGCGGTTTCTGTCATTGTCTCAGCAGAAAAAGAAAAAAAAATACTCTCGTCGCACAATTATATCCGGAATTTGCAATCAGAAGCGAGAAGAAACGACGACACACTAGCAACAACGTCGATACTAAACATCCATAATCGGCGGAAGTGGCCTGAGAGACTCGTTATTCCGAAGGATGCGCATGCGGCCACCCTCCTTCTCTTTCCTTTCATCGCTACCGCTTTTAACCCAGAACTCCATTTGGTCCATGCGTCAGATCTGTATTTTTGGCTATGTGGATATACCGAGTGATAACACGTTTACTCGATCTGTAATCTTTATGATAAACCAACATTGTTAACTGCAACTGTTGCAAATTTTCAGCAGTCTCTATGTTAATATTGTTTAGCTTTATACATAATATTATTTATCGTTATGCAATATTATTTCGTGCAATGCGTAATATATTTATATATAACATTTATACTTTTGTATTTATATGAATATAAACTTTTAATAGTTTTGTGATGTATCAAAAATTATAAAAGTCAGATCATAAACTAAAAGAGGCTCCGACTGTACTGATTATATCAACAATCGGATACTAAATTTAAATGAGAAAAATTTTCTGACCGTCGATATGAATATACAAGAAGCATAATGTAAGAATGAAGAAACACTTTATAGAATTCCTATACAGAGGTGTTACTGCTAAAGATTTGAATCGCTTTGTTTCAAGTAGCTCTCTGTTTTCTTTTCTCCTTTTCTATGTTTTGCGAGTGGTGAGAGGGATTTAATGTAACATGTATTAAGAATTAAGAATGGAGAGATATTCAGACAGTGCTATATAGTACTCTCTAAGTATCTATCTCCATTTTTAATTTTTATATATACACATATGTCACACACTTGAAAAAGAAATTGCAAACACGCACATATAAGTGTGTGTTCTCCAAATATTCATACTTTACACATATTAAAAATGTTAATTATAATTTATTATTTAAAAACTCCAACTTCTTCTTAAAAGAATAACTTGAAAATTTGTCATCTACTTGAAGGTGGTTACTAATAATACAGGGGGTCGAAAAGTGAGCAAATTTACTAGGTTATTGACCAAGAAGATCATAGATATTTTAGTAAATTTGCGCACTTTTGTAATTTTTTCACTCCATTGCATGATACACAATCGACCATTCAGTCTGTACGAGAGCACAGTATAAGAAAGTACAGTAGGTTCACTCGCGTCGGCACTTTTTGATCTCATAACTAAAAGATCGCCATATTGCTGGTTGTGCGCGGACTCTAATTTGAAAGGCATAGATACAATAAAAAAAGATATATATCTAATAAGAATATTAAAAAAAATTTTTATTTAATATTCTAAAAGAAAATAAGACTCTAGAATAATAATTTACCTGATAGGAAGAAAGTCTGTGCCATCGTTACACGGTGCGTAAATTATTGTGTATATTTACAATAATTAATATCTTTGCGTTTATTTTGTACATATACGTATTAATTTATTTTTAATTAAAATACAATTTTATCAAAATTACTGTATAAGTATACAATTATTATATGCAATAATTATCTAATTATTAAAATCCTAATAAATTTTATGTATATAAATAAATGTACAGAGCCTATAAATTATCAGAGATAAAAAAATTCAAGAAACATGATAATATTTTGATAATGATAATAATGTTACGTCCTACATCCTACACAGTTCTTCTTTGCTCAACTTTCTCACGATCAGTCGGTAAAACTCAAAGAGATCCCTAATGAAAATTTGGCCTTTACAAATAAAAATAAAACCATAAAACTCACTAAGATTATTTCAGACATATCGAAATTTCCGATAAGATAAATTGTCCTTTGAGTTTTCGACGATGATCACGTCCGCACCGATAAAATTTTATAGCGTCTACACTAAATATCACCACCAGGTACCTCGCCTTATTCCCGCCTATCCTTAAGTTCGATTTCATATTGGAAATCTATCTTTATTACTTTCCTCCACCCTAAGATTTCCTCAAGGATCCAAAATCTTAAGGAATACCTCCCTTCCAAAACCAAAAAATCTGAGTATAAAAGGAAGGGACCCAGCGAGAGTCAGCGGAGTTTTAGTTAGAGAGTCAGCGGAGTTTTAGTTAGAGAGTCAGCGGAGTTTTTAGTTAGAGAGCCAGCCAGTTAGTAGAGAGAGACTTTTAGTATTACCGGAACAGTTTGAATATTGGGACTTAGAAATAATT